AAGTGTAGCCCCTGTGCCCTGAGCCTCCCTTCCCTCCCCATGCACCCCCCTCCCCGCAGGCCCCTCACTGACCCGGCTGCATGACCCGCCGATGCGCATGTGTGTTGAGACTCGGGCACCCACCTCTCTGCGTTAAACTCTTCTCTGGTTTGCCACAGGGGGCAATGCAGCCTCAAACAATGACCCCGAGGTGGACGGGGAGGATGGGGTATCCTTCATCAGTCCACTGGGCATCCTGTATACCCCGGCTTTAAAAGGTACACCCTCTGCCAGCTGCAGAGCCAACTTCCTTAGACCAATTCGCCCACCCAGCTAAAACCCTCAGGGCTGTTCGCCCAAGTCCAGGATACAAAGGCGTGACTACGGGTCCCTTGCAGGCAAGGCAGCCTGGTGCTCATCTCACCAAGTTTTCTAGAAGTCAGAAGGTGTGGTCCGATATGGACACAGAGGCAGAAGACTGACTACTAGAGACATGCTAGTTCTAGAAAATGCAGCAGTTAATAGGCCCTATACCTGTACCAGCCGACCTAAACATCAGGTGTGTGGACCCTCCCACCCACCTACGTAAATGCACCCACAATGTCCTCCGACTGAGCTCCATGCACCAGATGCACCAGAGACTTTTCTACACAAAGCAATGCTTCAGTGGCAGTGGGACATAGAAACAGGGACCAGGGAACCCACACTGACCAGCTAAAGATAAAGCAGAGGCTGGGAAGGCAGTGAAGGTCAGTCTTTGCAGACTCAGCCTAAGGCTAACCCTCCCTGTTTGTCCCCAGTGATGGAAGGCCACGGGGAAGTGAATATTAAGCATTACCTAAACTGCAGCCACTGTGAGGTAGACGAGTGCCACATGGACCCTGAGAGCCACAAGGTCATCTGCTTTTGTGACCACGGGACTGTGCTGGCTGAGGACGGCGTCTCCTGCATTGGTAAGAGGATGGGGGTTGGGGGCCCAGAGCTTGAGCCACAGCTGGTTTCCATGGCTGGGGAACACAGGTGCAGTTTTGTAAACTTCCTGACGCCCCTCAGTCTGCCTCCACACGGGTGCTCTGACAACGATGCAGAGAAACCTGAGTGTGAAAGGTGGGTCATGACTCCCGAGGAGTCTTAAGTCACCTAGTCCCACCCACAACGCAGGGTGTGAACCCTCACATTCCCACCAAGGGGCCAACCTGTCCCCACTGGAACAGCCCCAGTGCCAGGAACCTCAGCAGTCCTAAGACACACTCTCCCACCAAGAGCTACAGAGCCAGACCCTGTTTCTTCCAGCTTCCGCTCTTTGGTTCCCTACTGGCCACAGACTTTCTAGTGTGTCCTCCTGCTCGTCTTCTCAAATTAAAACCCCTCTACCTGGATCCAGTCACACAAGACCCCATTTCATGTCTCCCCTCCATCCTGGCGTGCCACATCTGCAGGTGTTTCAGTTGCCAATGCCCCTTTTGAAATGTAGTGTCTGGGACCAAGCACAACACCTCAGTGTGGCTTGTGCCCATTGTGGCACCTGGGACCCTCCCTCCCGTGTTCTGGGCTCAGTGCCCTCGGGACCAGAGGCAGTGAGTCAGCCTCAGCGTGCTACTGGGGGGCACGCTGTACTGTTGGGTCACAGTGAGTTCATTGTCACCGAAGGCCCCTGAGTCTCTTCCATGAGCCATTGCTGGCCACCTCTCCTCCTCCTCTTGTCACCGCGCAGTTGATATTTTGGACCCATGTCCAGAATATGATAATGTAGCCCTATTACATGCTCCCTCCACCCCAAAGCTACCGCTGAAAGCTGTAAAGCCAGGACGAACCTGTTCATGCCCCGTGTCCGCTGAAAAGGAAGGTGGACAAGATCTCCGGGGATGGGAGGAACAGGTGGCTTTTGTCCCTGGCTGGGGAGGGTATTTCTGACCGGGGTGGCCCTCAGAGGAGAATCAGCATGGTCATTGGTGCCCTGTGGGGACCTGTCTTCCAGTGTCACCCACCCCAGAGCCCCACCTGCCACTCTCGCTGATCCTCTCCGTTGTGACCTCTGCACTCGTGGCTGCCCTCGTCCTGGCATTCTCTGGCATCATGATCGGTGAGTGTGCCAGACCCCTGGGGCTTCCAAAGGGAGGCAGGGAAGGCAGAGCTGGCAGAACAGAACAGAGTCTTAGGCTGTGCCTCGGACACTGAGATGTCACTTTGCATGGGCGGTGACTGTGGTAGCGCAGGCCAAACCAAAGCAGAAGCCCTTCACCTTCCCACCCCCAGCATAGCTGTAGTTCCCTAGGAGCCTCTGATCCTAACCTCAGCCTCATATACAACCTCCTGGCTGCTTGAGGGGCAGCGGGGCTGGGGGACACGCTGCCGAGGTGGACACAAGCTCAGGCTCACCACCCCCCCGGACTTCACTTCCAGCTGCCATCAGACACGGGCTTCAGCAGGCGCGTCTACTTTGGCTCACTCCCTGTGTGACGCCTCCAGCCCCCACTTCCCCACTGCAATGCAAAATTGGCTTCTGAGTGTTTCCTGTTAGGCCTGTGAACCAAGGTGAGCTGAGCTGCAGGTCACAGAGGGCTCAGCATGGTCCAGTCAGGCTCCTACGGCTGGAAATGCCCGGAGCAGGTGGGCTGGGACATGGAGGAAGGCAGAGGGAGAGGCTCAGCTCTGGGCAGCACTTTCAGACCAGCGCCCCCAGGGACGAGGGAACCTGGGAGTGGCCAGGGAGATGGCAGCATGTATCATGACCACATGTCCCTTCGAAGGATGATAAGAGCTAGCACTGTTGCACACTTACAATATGTTGGGCGATTTACATATTTTTAGTTCACTAAACCCTCAAAGAACCCTGTGATCACTGTTAGTACATTTTATAGAGGAGGAACTGAGCTCACGGCAGTTGACTCACTTGCCCTGGCCCGAAAGTGGTGGGGTTGGGCTTTAGGGGCAGAAGCTATCCTGTGAGTCACAGTTTCACGCTGCCTCCCATGGAGTTTGCCCGTAGAACAGTATCACATGTATGGTAACAGCGATAATGGTCCCTTGCATTGGTAGAGCCCTTTAGAATTTTTTTCACAACCATTTTATGTTGGTGAATTCATTTCATTATGACAACCCTCGGCGGAGGAGAGTGGGACAGGTGACAGGGCAGGAGTTACTTTCCCTGATGACAGAGAAGGAGATGGGGTTCAACGAGGTCACATGAGCTGGTCAGTGTCACTCAGCTTATTAAGTAACAAAGGTGGAATTAGAACTCAGACAGCAGTTTGGATGCCAGGTTAGAAACCCATCACTCTGTAGCAGCTCCCCAGCTATGTGGCTTGACAGTTCTCCAACTGTAGGAAGCGCAAGTGACCAAGAGCCCCAGCTGCTCTCAAATCCATCGCCGGGCTTGCCCCACCCGAAGACTGGGCATAGCACAGATACTAAGGCAGCCCTATTCCTGGGAGACATGGGACTCCTCAGATGGCCAGCTTTGGCTCCAGAACTTTCCAACAGCCTTACTGGAACTTCTTTAAATTGCATGGCCATCTGGGGTTTTTATTCAATCTTCCCTCACTCTCTCCTGCATGGGGGGGCCAGACTTCCCACACAGTCTGATGGTTCTCGCAGCCTTCCAGGCGCCCTCCCCATGTTCTCTCATACCCAGGTGCTCTAATGAAATCCTTGCACGTTTACTCCCGTCGGGGTCTGCTTCTCAGGGGACCCAAACTCATATGCCTCTGCCCCTGTATGATACAGTAAAATCTTTTCCATTTATATGATTTTTAAGCTTTACATTTACTTTAAATAATCTTTCAATTAAAAGTGCACTTTCACATCTTTAAGCATTTTGTTAGTATTACTCCATGTGATGGAAAGGTTTAGATCTCAGAAGAGGAGGTGGAGATCCAAGAAGGCTTCCTGGAGGAGGTGGCCTGTGCTGGGCTTCAAGGGCCAGGCTGCCTTGTCCAGGCCACGCTGAAGTTGACCTCCGTCTGTCTGTAGTGTACCGTCGGAAGCACCAGGAGCTGCAAGCCATGCAGATGGAACTGCAGAGCCCCGAGTACAAGCTCAGCAAGCTCCGCACCTCGACCATCATGACTGACTACAACCCCAACTACTGCTTTGCCGGCAAGACCTCCTCCATCAGTGACCTGAAGGAGGTGCCGCGGAAAAACATCACCCTCATTCGGTGGGTGCCCCCTGCCATCCCTCCGAGAAAGAGGGTGCCCTAAGGAGCTGGATCTCATCTCAGCACCGTTGGATTCCTCTGGCCACAAGAGGCCAGCAAAGTCACCCTTAGGCCACCCCCAGCCCTCCCAAGGGGAGAAGATTTAATGTTCAGAGCCATTTGGGGGGTATTTGACACCCTGTATATTCATGGGGTTTGTACAGTGAGAGGAGGACTCTCCTCAAAATCCACTCGAGTGCCCCCTGGGCCTTCCCGGCCTCTCCCTCCTCCTGGTGGAGCAAAGCGCCTCCTCAGAGCTCCCAGAGCATCCTGTGCATCATCTGTCACTCACGGAGCGCACTCCACAGAAGCGCTGGCCAGCGATCTGTCACTCCCTCCCCACAGAGTGCAGGTCCCCCGGGCAAGGGCCAGGTCTTATTCACCGCTCTTTCCCTGGCAAATATCAGAGACTCAAGTCTTCGCGGAAGGAATGTTCAACCATTGTCAGGAATCCCTAGTTGGAGCATCTCTTGCTGGTTTTCAAATAAAGCAATGGGGGTCCTGGATTGAGTAGCAAATCCAGGGTGAGGATGTGGCTCTTGAGCGTGTGCATGGCCCCCTGCCTCTCGTGGGCATCCGCTAAACGTGTCCCGGCCTTTTCTTCCTGGCCCACCTGCCTCTGCCTCATCTTCCCATCTCCTTTGCACAGGGGTCTGGGCCATGGCGCCTTTGGGGAGGTGTACGAAGGTCAGGTGTCTGGGATGCCCAGCGACCCGAGCCCCCTGCAAGTGGCTGTAAAGGTAAGAGGGGCTCCCTCAAGGGCTTGACCTTGGCCAGCGGTCTCTGTAGACCGAGCTCTCTGCTGACAGCCTCTCACTCCTGCTGCTAACGGCCTTCTGCCCTTCTGTGCCCAGACGCTGCCTGAGGTATGTTCCGAACAGGACGAACTGGATTTCCTCATGGAAGCCCTGATCATCAGGTACTGTCACAGAGAGACGCTCCCCACCTCCCCACATGGAGGTGTTTCTAACAAACATGTCTCTGAGAGAAACCTCCTCCAGCATGCCTCTCCGTCTCAGTAAGAGACTGCCCCAGATTCTTAGCACATCTTACCAGCGTAGAAAGCTCCAGATGGTTGACTTAGAAAAAAACCACCTCTGTGGCCTAATAATCTAACTGCTATCACTCTGCCTTCAGCCAGCATCCCCGTGTCATCCATTCATTCCTTTCCCTTCTTCTTAAGAAATAGAGTGTGCTAGGTTTTGACAGTGAAAGATATAATCTCCCTCCAGGTAATTCCTCTGCCAGGCGTTTCACCAGTCCCAGCTCTCAGATCTCGTGTAAAGAAATTGTGCCCCTACCATGATGGAAGGCTGTCTCATCGGGTCCACACAGCTGGCCTGCACCCTTCAACTTGTGGCTCTGGGGTCCCCAACTAGGAATCTCGGTGTCTGGGACTCTGACAGCAGATCACTTTTAAGGAAGACAAGGGGGTTTGACCTTGAGATCTGGCCGGGTTCATGGCCTCCTGTTGCCCTGGGGAGCCTCAAACATCCTGACAACTTGGGGCAGCCTGGGATCTCCCTTTGGAAGTGGAAGTGGCAGAGGGAATGAAGGCAGAACAGTGTGGGTGATGTGCCTGTGGGCCCTGGAGCCACGGGAGGACAAACAGTGGGCTCTGTGCCTTGCTTTAAAAATAATTTATTTTCTGATTATACATGTAATACATGATTATTGACTAAAACTTGGAAAATACAAGATTACATGGAGACCCAAATCACTCCATCTCACGACTTGGAAATAAGCAAGCACCATTATATTTCAGTCTCTAGTCACACACTCTTTCCACTTTGTATGTGTGTGTGTGCCCGGGCAGAGTTCCCGGGCCCCACTGCCCTGTGTGTCCTGAAAGGATCACGTTCACAAGGAAACCCAAATCCACATGCCCCTCTCCCTCAGTCTCTTTCACACGAGGTCACCTGGCAGGTCTCAACACAGTCCCTTGTGGAAGCAGGTCCTCCAACTTCTGCCTACGTCCTGCCTCAGGGCCTCAAACACGAGCCCTAGCAAGCAGTCCATGCACCAGTCTCCGAGAGGGACACGCGGCGCTCTCCTGTCTCCCCACTCCACTCTCTCCCCCAAGAGCCTGTGCGGCGTCCTCCCGCCTCCAACCAAATGCTCTTGTGCAGCCCGAGCTCCTGTCAGGCCTGCCCTCTGGGTCTTCCGCCTGCTCAGTGACGAGATGGTTCTCGGCTTAGGCTTAGCATGGAACCCCTGCTACCCACACTTACAGAATGCATGTACATGATGTGGCTGCTGAAAACACAACTTTGTATCCTGCTTTCCCCACTTAAGAGATCTTCCCAGACTCAGCTGTTGCATTTGGTTACTTCCCTCTGCTCTGCAGCAAATTCAACCACCAGAACATTGTGCGCTGTATCGGGGTGAGTCTGCAAGCCTTGCCCCGGTTTATCCTGCTGGAGCTCATGGCGGGAGGAGACCTCAAGTCCTTCCTCCGGGAGACCCGCCCTCGCCCGGTGAGTGAGAAACCAGCCTTTCCCCTGTGCTTGTGCCAGGGAGCAGAGCCAGGGGTGGAGGGAGCAAGAATGGGCAGCCTGGGAAGCAACTCGTCCATGGCATCAAAGGCTGTAGGCCCTGGGCTTGGATCCGGGGATGACCATGAGAGAATGGACAGAAGGTGGACAATGGCCCTGGGAGCTCATGCAAGCAAGCCTTGTACAATGGATTCTCCTGCCTAATCCCTTATTATCGCCTGCTGATTATGGGAAACCAAGCTGGGGACAAGCACAGAGAGGGACGTTCATGCCAGCCAGCCACTAACTCAGTCAGCTGACCTGGGGCCGGTCAACCTACATCCACTCATTCTGAGCCCCACCGTTGTCTCTCAAATGGTGACTTCCTGACCTTGTAGTTTTACTACACAAATACAGTGCTAACATATTTCGGAAGGTGCTATATGGTCAAGAGGCTAGAGCTGGGGAGGGTGAAAAGACCTGGGTAGAGCCAGGAATGCCAGCCACGTCCCAGCCCTGCTTGGCCCATAGGCACCCAGGTGGCTTAGGGCAGATGCCCACTCTAACCTCAGGGTCTGCAGTGTGACATGCGAGGCCTGCACTGGGACATCTCAGCAGAGCTTCTAAATTATACAACATAGCACCCTGGGGGTCCCAGAGTCCAGCCGCCCTCTCTTGTCACTGCTCAGTGCCCCGAGGTGCTTCACACTCACACATGGTTGAAAGGATTCTGTGGTCAGACAAATCCCAGAACCACAGCAGGCACCCTCATTGAGCCTCAATATACATTAATAAACAGCGAAGACACTGGTAACCCCTGTGATAAAGAACCTATTTAACCCAGGAATTCCCACACCTGTTTGATAAAATTCCATCCCACAAGCCCGCTTTGGAAAACACTGGACAAGAGCCTCTCCGAGTACCGGACAGAATGCATCCATAAGCACAACGGGCCTGAGGAATGCCTGGTCGCCAAAGGAAGTACCACACTCAGTGGCAGACAGGGTGAGGGGACCCTGATTCCAACTCCTTCTTTGCCCTGGAGGCATACAAATGGCACTGAGCACGCTGGCTACGCTCTGCACCGCTCATTTAAGTATCAGTCTTGCCACAATGCCCACACCGCCCGACCCCCACTCGCAACCCCCCCCACACACACAGGCTGCTAACTATCTGCGCAGAGTAGTTAGTGAAGCAGCTCCTTTGCTCTGAGCGCCCACAGACAGGGAGCCCAGATATACCTGGCACGCGGGTGAATGCCTGGGAAGCTTTGGTCCCTGCAGCGTGGCAGGTTCATGGGGGCATCGGAGACATCAAGGACCCTCGCATCCTGAGTGACAGGGGCACAGAGACACTCTGGGAAAGCCAGAGGCAGGTCCTTCTTTAGTGAGAGCAGAAAGCATTCTCCTGAGGAGGGAAAAGATGATATTTCTAATACTATAGCAAGATGGATGGCTATTCTCCTCAGAAATACATTACTTTCTTTTCCCCAGGAAATGGGGACTATCTCTGTCCCAGTGCCCAGTATGCTTACCCTAACACGACCCCTGGAGAAACCAAACACACAGACCATGTCCCGAGACCCCCATGGCCCTCCACACCACACTCGATGACTGCAGATCCCTTTAGGATTCACTCTGTGCCTCCCTCTGGGCCTCGTAACAACCCAGTGAGGCTGTAGTGTCATGCCACCTTCACAGATGAGGACACTGTAGCTTGCAGAGTGGCAGAGCAATTAGCCCCAGGTCACACAGCCAGTGAGGGACAAGCAGGGATGAAGCCCAGGTCAGCTCGACTGACCACTGACCTAAGCTACTCCCTGTACATGTGTGCAGTGTTATGCATTCACCTGGGCTCTGTACGCTGTGTTCACGGACTCAAGTTCCTTCTCTGACATGCTCTCCTGAGGAGCGCAATTTTAACTGCTAGAATTCGGCCTCCCCCAACACAGATTTTTAAAGCCTACCTCAAAGGCAGTTTGGGCTCCACCCTTGTGGCTGTGTGACCTGGAGTGGTGATTCACTTAGCCTCTCTGAGCCCTCAGCCTTCCCATCTGTAATATAGAGATAACCTTCTCTTCCCTACCAACTCCACAGGAGGTTGCATCCAAGAGGTCCTGTACTTGGACTTGCTCTAATGCACAGAAGGCCCTGCCTGATGTTTCATGGGCAAAGAATTGTCCCCTCCCTAAGTTGTCTCCTCCAGAACTGAAGCGTGCCCTAGAAAAGCATGAGTCCTCTCCGCCTCTCCCAGACCCGCACTGCTCCAAGGAGTCCTGGGGAGGCCCTGATCTGTGGCAGAGAAAAGCCCCAGCCGTCATCTGGGTAAATCCTAGTTCAGCTGTAATCAACCAACCAACCCCCCAACATTCATCAAACCACTACAATGTGCTGGATACTGTGGACATGGATGTGGAAGTCCCTGCCTTGGGGACATGTAAAATAAACACAGAACAACAAATATGACACTGCATGACGACGTGCTGCTGCGGACTTCGGGGATTTCAGAATTCAAAGAGACACGAAGACTGGATGTAGTCTTCACAAAAGGCCTCCAGGCGCTCAACAGGCTGTCCAGGCAGAGACGGACTGCACCCCAGAGGTGGGGCAACGTCCACCGTTCAGAAAAGCTTGAAATCGCCCTTCAGTTGCCCAGCATTTTCCAAAAGCTTTTCTTTATCAATCCACTTTAAGTCTGGACCTTCTTGAAGAAAATTAATATTTAAAAATATTTTCAAACATTTAGAGGATTTTAAAAATTGTATCCCCTTGATTTTCTGACAGCCTTGTTTATACGTTTGGGGGATTTAAATGTTTATGAAGATTGAGGTGGAAGAATGTGCGGATAAATGAACAGGGGAAAGGACACGCGGCCACCCTGGGTTCCTGTACTTTGCGGTTCCCAGCCTTGGCTGCCTGCTTACCGTATTTCCCCATGTATAAGATGCACCCATTTTCGTTAAACTTGGGGTCTAAAAACTGGTGGTAGATTTTTTTACTTGCATTTCCCACTGAGGATGAGGCAATATATGAAGACAGTGATTCGTCATCAGACACAGATGAGGACAAACTACTGGTTTGACAGTGATGAGGAGTTGTATGAATCTTATGATGAATAAAACTTGAGTTCAATAACTTTATGTAATACACTTTTTTTCAAATTTCGGGCCCCCAAATTAAGGTGCGTCTTATACACGGGAGCGTCTTATACCTGGGGAAATACGGTACTCACCTGGGGCTGTGAAATGTACGAATGCTGCGCCCACCTGGAGAGATTGATTCCTGGGTCTAGGTTGAGGCCCAGGCATCTGTATTGGTTTAAAGCCGCCAGGTGATTTCTAATGAGCAACCAGGGCCGGGGCCCCAGGGGGACAGCGTGTCAGGATTTGGCCTCCTTGCACTTGAAGCTAGTGTTTCAAATCTTCTCTCCCCCAAGAGCCGCTTCTCAGATCGCTCTGTCTCCCCACAGAATCAGCCCTCCTCCCTGACCATGCTGGACCTCCTGCACGTGGCTCGGGACATCGCCTGCGGCTGCCAGTACTTAGAGGAGAATCACTTCATCCACCGGTGAGTCGACACACCTGTTCCCTCCGCCTTCTGTTTGCTTCCCTGTGCATCCCACAGCGTGGGGAATGATGGGGAGGAGAATGACGGGGCTCTCTCCCTAGCTGTTCGGATGATTCCGCTTCATTTGTGTTTAAGATGACTACTGACTCTATCAGGGCTTCCTTTGTAAAATGAGTGTCAAAATATCCATACCAGCTCTGGAGACCCTGATGAGCCTGGCTTGGCCTCCTGTGGGGGCCGCTGCCTGTATGTTGCAGTGAAACATTCAAGTCCTATATCACTTGAACGTTCCCCCATCTAGAAAAATGAGTTCCTTAAGGGAAGTTAAAGGAGTTCGTATTTTCACATATTTGACTATGGGTAGCTTGAAGGCAAGGACTCTGTTTTATTCATCTTTGTATCCATGGCATACAGCAAGGCACAAGAAATGTTTGTTGAGTAAATTAATTTTTTTTCTAAAAGACTCTGAAATGAACATAATGATTATTTTATCTATTTCTACACTTCATTTCTTCTCCTCTCTATGACCCTGGTGTTTAAATGGTGTTTGGATTAGGACATCAAGTCCACGTGTAATGCTATAGACATCATAGATTACAGATTTCTTTCCATGTGGATGATGACTTTCTCATCTGACGGCTTGATTCTGAAATCTGAAAAGTCAAATAGATTGTTAGGCTCTTTGCAAAACTCTTCCTAATGATTTCCTTCTAATTTAGTAAAATAACAATCTGGTGAACTAACAATTTTTCTTAACTCACATCCTCAAAGAGTTTAAGGCATAGTCCTAATAATTACAGTAAGTACTAAGTAGAAAATGAGAGACGCTGCATGAGGTTAGACATCGACGCGCATGTAACAGATAGGAAGCTATGCTTTCTCCCTAATAAAAACGGGGAAATTAAAGATCAAGAAGCACATTCGCGGGCCGGCCGAGTGGCGCGTTGGTTAAGAACTGGCTTGGGATGCCAGAGGGCCCCGGTTCGGATCCCACATATGAGGGCCAGTGACACTGCCCTCTACAGCTAACATGCTGAACAACAGCTCAACCTGGAGCTGGGCTGCCATGAGTCGCCAGCAACGGCGTAGGCTGCAGCCCCTGCTACAGTGGGTTGCCATAAGCTACCGTGTGTAGCCAGCAGCCACAGTGAGTGCCCATCCAAAGACCGGCGACTGATCTGCCTCGCCCGGGAAGAGCGCAATGATGGTGCCAACTTGGGCCAGTGAAGCAACATCCTCCACAACTAGACTGAAGAACAAATCGACAGCAACTTGTCTGTTCCCCTTCCCCGATTCCCCAGCACTGTTCCCCTTCCCCAACTCCCCAATAAAAATCTTAAAAAAAAAAAAAGAAGAAGCACACTCGCCCGGGTTCCCAGCGCCATTCCCAAAACAAGGCGATCAACTCGTGCAGCGGCTTATCCTTTTACCGTCGCTTCCTCATTTGGTCTTCAGCTCTACCTCTTGATTCTAAACCCTTCCAACTTGCGGATGATTTTTTTTTCTTGATAGAAATAACAAAGGCAGAAAAGGATCTGGGACCGGTCCTGTATGTTCTCATCCAAAGCGACACCCTCGGCTTCAAAGCATGGGGCAGGCCTCCCGGTGTCGTTCTTGCCCTTTCTGTGGTGCCGAGAACTTTCCAGACATCTCAGCTCTGGGCTGTATTGTTGCTCGGACATGACAAGATTGTGCTCTTTTTGGAATTCATCCTTGGTGACAGCCATCTTTCTTTTCTTTTTTTTTTTAATTAAAGTTTATTGGGGTCACAAGTGTTAGTAAAGCTTACATAGGTTTCAGGTGTACAATTCTGTAATACTGGGTTGTCAGAAAAGTTATGATGTATTTTTCTATGCTTTTCGTTGCAAAAATGCATCATGACTTTTCCGACAACCCAATATATCACTTATATATCACATTGTGTGTTCACCACCCAGAGTCAGTTCTCCTTCCATCACCAAAATTTGATCCCTTTTACCCTCATCTTTCCGCCTTTGTCCTTTTAAATCTGAACTCATCTGAGAGCAACCTGTGCAGCCACCACCTTGGGGACTTCAGGTGTCTCCCTTTGGTTCTCCCTGAGATCATTCCTGCTGTTTCATCTCCGCCCCTCGTTAGTCAGCGAGCATACAGATTCTCTGGCTGAGGGATCACATCCATCTTTCCTCTGACGTTTTGAAATCTGCTTCCCTAGAGCCAGGCTACATTGGACCACACCCAGTGCTCTGTTACTAGAAATAAGATAACAGGGTCACATCCTAGCAAGATTGCTATCATTTGCATATCTGTAAATAGTTACTCAAGTTCAGAATTAGATCCCAGAGAACAGTTTGTTGCTCCTTTGATCTTTTTTTGAGGAATGAAATTGTCAGAGATCAAATCAAGAATGTGTCAGATGATCTGCTTTATAAGCAAAAGGCGACCCTTAGCAGAAATTGACCATCTCAATCCAGGCTCTTCTTCCGGGGTAACTGGTATTAGGAAAGCATCTTTTGCACCTTGTCACTGGCTCGGAGGTCTGTGGCACACTCCCATGGCCCTCACACTCTCCCTCCCCCACCTCTTCTGCCTCCCCATCCCCAGGCTCCTGGGCAAGTACACACCTCCGGACTCAGAGCAGACTCCCTCCCCAGACCTTGCCCTCCCATTTGTCTGCTTTATCTGTTTCCTGTGGTCATGGTTTATTGTCATTTCAAGAATTATGTGTCGTTCTACCAATTCTCAATGTGTTCTATGATATCACATTTATTTTCTTGCCATTAAATCCAAGATCATTTTTTTAAACAACCATTCCACGCACATCGGCATAAAGACCTTTCTGGAGGCATAAATATTGTTCCTGGTCTACTTTGCTGTATTTCTCTTGAGAAGTGGTGGCTGTACATGCCACTATTTTTCTTCTTTTTGATATCACATCATACATATTATGCCTCCATAGTTTTATTAGGGCGTTTTATGCACCATCGCTCCTCAAAATTCAACTTTCACCATCTGGATCAGGTCAGTGGCATTAATAACATCCAAGTCCCCACCCTGGCCCGTTGTCCTGGCATCCTAAGCCATGGGCCCCAATCCAGGTCCTATTTTTTTAACACTATCCCATTGCTTATTTCCCATGTCCTTCTCAACCAAAGATCAGAGCCTTTAGGAAGCCAGCCGAAAATATGAAAACACCACCTGTGGCCTCCCAAGTACTACTTTTTTGTTTTTCTGGCCTGGACTTAAATATTATTGGAAACCATTTCAGACTTCTTCTGGCTGCACCCTTCATTCCCACATGAATGCCAAGAATGGGTCAGCTATCGGTGGGGATGAGACTTGGAAATCTTCTGGTCGTGCTGCATAGGCACGCTCCAGCTACTAGGCCATCTGGAGCACAACAGCCAAAGTAACTTCATGACTTGAAAGACGTGATTCTCCCACCTCATAGCTATGATGCAGACAGCTTAAAAAAGGCTTTAGATAAAATCATGGATGTAACCACCATAATGACTTATTAAAAAAGAAAACTACAAAGATTTGGGAATACCTGAACCGACTCGAATTGGATAGCATGGAAGTCACGCCGTTCCGGAAGATTCCTTCAAACAGCTGGCTGAAATCAACCAGCAATCTGTATAAAACAATAGCCTAAGGACAATGGCATTTCTTATGTCCCTATATTATTTGCTTTTAGCCTCATTTTTCTAATAAAATGAGGACAATAATAGCACCCTGTATCTTATAGGACTGTTGTGAGAATTACATATGAAGCACTTAGGACAATACTTAGTACACAGTAAAAGACCAATAAATTCTAGTTTCTATTATAGTTATTTTCATGTTATTATCCTATTAAACATTTTCAATCATCTCCCTAATCATTTCCCATTTCCTTGTTAGTTTTTAGAATTGGCATAGTTATTTCTTTCATACTGAAGTATAATTCAGTAAAGGAAATATAGAGCAAAGGAAGTAACTATTTGAACTTCAGATTGGAGGTGAAAATTCTAGTGGTAAATATTAGACATTTACTTTCCCAGGGATAAAATAAGGAAATGCCTTCTCTCTTGTTTTTCTTCCCAGGGATATTGCTGCCAGGAACTGCCTCTTGACCTGTCCAGGCCCTGGGAGAGTAGCCAAGATTGGAGACTTTGGGATGGCCCGAGACATCTACAGGTGAGTCAAGACTGCCGTCGCCCATCAATGCCCATCCCGAGAGAATGGGATGTGGCTGCTGGTGCCCTCAATCATCTCTGGCACCTTGTCAACTTGCCACCTAAAATTCCATTAAGTTCCTTTTCAGGATATGGGAAAACCTTAATTAGCGCCCATACCTGATGGTCTAATTAATTCTAGGATCGCACTGCCTGCCATACGTGACACCAAGTTCTTAATTAGGTTGCCTCTCTGGGTCTAACTCTCTAATCCTAGCATATTCTGAGACACAGAATGACTTGGATACGTGCTATGGGAAAAGCTTCTATGTGAGCTTTAATTTACTTCACCCTTCTCTTCAATACTCAGGAATTCTAAACGATTTTAGCTTCCATTGTGCCAGGCAAGAGCGCCCCACAGCTGACAGGATACGGCGCCCAGCTCCTTGGTCATTTTGACCCATCCCAGGAGACATGGGAGTATAGTTCAATACACTTAACTCATAGGTACTTCACTCAGCTTCATTTATTTTTCCCTGTAATATTTTCAAGGCTACACTTGAAAAATAAAACAACTTAAAAAAACCCCAAACTTCTATTGCACTTTCTCTCACATTTCTTCTTTGTCTAATTATTTACAACATGGAGCAAGTCACTCATTTGCTTGGCCACTAATTAAGCCTTCCCTAATCCAGAGGTGGGGGGGGGGCGGGGGTTGGTCACATAGAGCTTTCACTCTTTGGAGAGTAAGGGAGACCCCTGAAGGCCTCCGTCAGAACTGGTAACAATCTTCAGGGCCTGAGAATGCTGATGACACCCTGTTACCACAGGGTAGCAGCACGTGGAAGATGATCAGTCAGTAATGTTCTTCGCCACAGTCATCTACCACCGGGCTCCACCTTATTACCTTGGTTTGCTGCACTTTCCCTCCTTTCCCAGAATCCCCCAGGAATGCCTGTGCTTGACGCTACAAGACTTGCAGCCTGACTGAGCAAGCCCTGGGCCACCGGGCCCTTCCTCTCCATCCTCAGCTCTGACAGCTCCCCAGCTCTAAGCTTCACCACCCCAACTTATACACTTACCCACTGTTCCCACATGCCCAGTACAATTTCAGGTGTCAGGAATGGTCTTCCAGGAGAGCTTCTTCACCACTCAGCTCCATCAGCCCCCTCTACGAAACATTTGCTGTACTCAACCCACCTCGAGTAGAAAGATCAGCTCCTCATCTGTGTCCCTCAGCTTCGTACATGCCTACGTCATGTCACGCGCTGCTCTGTACTATAGTCGTTCACGTGTCTGTGTCTTCCACTAAACCCTATCCTTGGAAGTGTGTGACTATGCCTTATTTATGTCCTCACCACATGGCAGAGTACCTGATACTTTTTAAATACTCGCTACATGTTTGTTGAAGTAATTAATTAATTGAGGCAGCTGGTGGGGCGCTGCCTCCTGTAGCACACACACCCTGGCAGGAGAACAGAGGCTAGGGGTGGAGCTGGCTTCAAAGGTATGAGTTAATTTATTAGTTTTTGTCAGTGATGTCATTTGTTATTTGTTGAGTGCCTGTATTGAACTAAATGCTATATGAGTGCCACGGAGGAGTGACAGTGAGTAAGACACAAGCCCAGCTCTCAGTGCTCCCATTTTGGATCTTGAGTTCCCATGGATCATCAGGAACAGGATGCACTGATGAGGCTGGAGTAATGGTATTCATTGTGAGTTACAATAAACAACCCCAACAGGGAAATCTCACCATCCTCTAGTGGGCATTTTCGTCATTGCATAGATCTTTTCTTTGATGCCTCCAGTGGGCTGTTTTGTGTCTGATTAAATGACACCAAAGTTCTTAAGCAGATGGTCTGTGTTCCCCTGCTCTCCTCCTGAACCACAGAACCCTCGTTAATTTCAGTCCTTTAATGGGTAGACCTTGTTGCCACTTTCTCAAGTTGCATGGAGCTTCTGCTCAGAGCCACCCCTGGAACCAAGTTTGTTTTTCCTCTCCTCCTCCCACAGAGCGAGCTACTACCGAAAGGGAGGCTGTGCAATGCTGCCGGTAAAATGGATGCCCCCTGAGGCCTTCATGGAAGGAATATTTACATCTAAAACAGACACGTGGTGAGTCTTTCTGCTGCCCCTCTCCTCCTCCCAGCCTCACCGTCCGTGATCCCACACTGTCCGCAGGGAGGCCCTGTGTCAGGGGAACGGCTCCAGGGGAAGCATCAACATACCTACACACCAGGGGCTCTCAGACAGTGGCAGACGTCAGAGTCATCAGAAAGGCTTGTTAAAACACGTGTTCCTGGACCCCAGCCTGAGAGTTCATGATTCAGAAGATCTGACGTCAGGCTGAGGGGTCTGCATTTCTTACAAGTTCCCGGGTGACACTGATGCTTCTGGGGGCACACACTGAAAGCCACAAGTCATTTTTTTGTTTTTCACATATCAATGAAGTTGGGTTTATTCCAGGAGTGCAACATTGAGTTAAGATTAGAAAATTGAGCAATGAAATTCTCCACATTAACAGAATCAAGGAGAAAAGCACACAAGTGCTGCTGGTCGTAATGGTGACGAGGCCCTTTCTATAGCTAAGAATAAGTCTGGGAAACACTATCTGAACATGATTTCCCCAGAACTTAATCATCCGGCATAAGTGGAACTTTGTACTCCTTCACCAACATCTCCTTACCTCCCCCCCCCCCCCCAGCGCCACCATTCTGCTCTCTGCTTCTGTGATTCCACATATAGTGACATCATGCAGTGTATTTCCATGTCTGGCTGATTTTGCTTAATATAATGTCCTCCAGGCTCATCCATGTTGTCGAAAAAGGCAGGATTTCCTTCCTTTTATTTTAAGGCTGAATAATATCCATTGTGTATATTACACATATATCCATATATAATGAATAGCTAAGGAAAAGGTGGTATATGTGGTTATATGTACACACGTGTATCAACATAGGTATTAATATGTGTGTATATTAGTATATATTAATAGAATTAATCTAGGAATCTGGTTATTAATAATTAATCAAAAGGATTTATATACATACATACCACCTTTTCTTTATCCATTCATCTACTGACGGATGCTTAGGTCGTTTCCATACAGAGGCTATTGTGATAACGCTGCAATGAACATACGAGTGCAGCTATCTCTTTGAAATACTGATTCATTTCCTTTGGATATACACGTATACCCAGAAGTGGGGTTGTGGGGTCACAAGTAGCTGTTTTTAAATTCGACTTGCCTGACCCAGTGGGCCTCAAAGTGTGATCCATGATCACAGTATCAGCATCACCTGGGAACTTGTAAGGAACAAATTCTCAGCCCCCACCTCAGGCTAATGAAACAGAGTGGGTGGGCCCAGCACTCCATGGTTTAACAAGCCCCCCGGGTGATTCCGGAGTGCACCAACATTAGAGCACCACCAACCTGCCCTATCCAGGTAGAGAGAGTAATTTAGGTAATAAGTCATTGTTCTGAACACATGCTATCCTGTGACACAGCCATTCTACTTCTAAGTTTCTATTTTAAAGAGAGGATGAGCCAACTAGACTTGGACAAGGATGTTCATTTTCAACATTATTTACGATAGAGAAAACAGCCAAAACAACCGAACTGTCCCTCAAGTAGGGGACAAAAAAAATAAACCATGGTTTACATATATCATGGGAAACTACTCTGCAGTATAAAGAACACACTAAACTTACATGTATCAACATGGACAAATCTCAAAAACAACATTTGGGGGGGGGGGAAGCAAGTTCCAAAAAGGAGTAGGATACCATTTATGTATAATTTTACAATACAAAAATTAAGTCTATAAAATAGATTCTTTATTGTTTCTGCTTTCACACATTGTAAAAAAAGTGAAAACTTATACATGGGAAGGATACATTCTAACTCCTATGGAGTCGGCAAGGGAAAGCAGGAAAGGATGGAGGGTGGGGCTTACTTGTATCTATTTTATTTCTTCAAACGGACAAGCAAGGGCCGAGTGGCTCAGTTGGTTAAGAGCTCGCTCAAGAGTGTGAGCTCTGAGCAATAGCGGTTTGATGCCCAGCCCGAGCTGAACAGCTGCTGAGCTGCCAACAGGTAGCAGGATGGCTCAGCTAAAAAAAAAAAAAAAGGGACAGGCAAAATATTAACATCTAGATACATAAGTATCTATTATATTGCTTTTCCTTTTTAAAATTTAGATTGTTTCATAAAGTGCTTTTTAAAAAAATAATAAATCACGTAACTTCAGATACTAATAAGTGCTATGGAGACAAAAATGATAAAGAGTGTGGGTGGAGGGGCCAGAGGAGGGACATTGTTTTTGTACCGATGGTGGGGGAAGGGCCCATGCAGGAAGTGAAAGTTCAAAACCTGAATGACAGAAAGGCACAGACCATGGAAAGATATGACAGAAAGGCTTTCCAGGCTGAGGGAAAGTCAAGTGTAAAAGGCCAGTGGCAGGAACAAGACTAGCTTATTTGAGGAATGAAAACAAGTCTTCATGGCTGGAGCTAAGGGAACACAGAGGCCAGTGGTAGTTGAGATGGAAGGGGGAAGCAGGGGCAGAACATGGAGGGTCTTAGGACCCAGTTTAGGGAGTGTGGATTTTATTCTGAGCACAGTGGGATGCCTCTGAAGGATTGGAAGCAAGAATATGATGTGATCTGTTTTGAAAAAAGATAAATCCCTCACTGCCATTGAAAATAGACTGGAGTGGGGCTGGGAAACCAATTAGGAAAATACTGCACATTTCTAGATAAGGGATGAGAGGGGCTAGCCTTGGCGGTGGCAGTGGAAGCCATTAAAAGTGGTCAGATTCACGTTCTGTCTTGAGAGTAGTTAGTTAGCAGGCCTGGTGCAAGTTGGATGTGGAGTGAGAGGTGTGGAGAAGAGTGAGATCAAGGACTATGCCCAAGTTTGCAACTTGAGCAAATTGATGAATGGTGGTACCGATGAACTGGAAAGAATGGAGGAGATGGGTTTGGGTGCAGAAAGGATACTATTCATTGTTGTTTTTTTTAAAGATTTTATTGGGGAATCAGAGAAGGGGAACAGACAAGTTGCTGTCCTTTTTGTTCTCCAGTCGAGTTGTGGAGGACGTCGCTTTACTGGCCCATGTTGGTATTATTGTTGCGCTCTTTCCTGGGGAGGCAGATCGGTCACTGGCCGTTGGACGGCCACTCACGGTAGCTTATGGCGGCCCACTGCCGCAGGGGATGCAGCCTACGCCGTCGCCGGCGACTCACGGCAGCCCAGCTTCAGGTCGAGCTGTTCACCATCTTAGCTGTAGAGGGCGCAGCGTCACTGGCCTTAATGTGGGATCTGAACCGGGGCCCTGCTGCTCAGAGCTGGAGTCCCAAGCCAACTCTTACCCGATGCACCACTCGGCCGGCCCAGGATACTATTCATTGTTGGTGAGAGTGTTCTGATGCCTCCTTGTGTGATGTTGATGATCAGAGTGACACATTTGGAAGTCAAGTGGACAATATGTATTAAGAATTTTTCACTGTTCATATTCTTCTTATCTAGTAATTTCATTAGAATTATCCTAAATTTTACTAGGCTATCCTAATCGTAAATGTGGAGAATTTATCCTAAGCAAATCGTCCTTTTTAAAAATGCACAAAGATGTTCATCACAGTATTTTAAGTTTTAAAAATTGAAAACAATATGAAACGATAAAGCAAATTATGGCACAACTACTCAAGTGAAATGTTTTATAGTCATTTCAAATTCTATTTATAAAAAAATGTATTAGCACGGAAAATGTATACGCCATAATGGAATTTGAAAAAAAAATCAAGGTTCAAAATTGCATATTGACTATAACTATAATTATGTAAAAAAAAAATCTAAGTAATTTGACTGGAACAAAAAAAATAACATGCTAATAGTGGTTAGCTTTTTTTGGAGCATCACATGTGGCTTTCTTATTCTTTTATTTTTCTCCAGATTTAGAATTCTCTATTGTGGAAAACGTGTAATAAAAATATTAAAATTTTACATCTGTGTCTGTGTGTCTGTGTATGTCCATGTGTGTGTATGTCTGTATGTGTATATGTATGTGTCCATGTATGTGCACACGTGTATATGTGCATCCACATCCATGTCTCCTGTCCTGTGTGCAGGTCCTTTGGAGTGCTGCTGTGGGAAATATTTTCTCTTGGATATATGCCATACCCTAGCAAAAGCAACCAGGAAGTTCTGGAGTTCGTGACCAGCGGAGGACGGATGGACCCACCTAAGAACTGCCCTGGGCCTGTGTACGACTCTTTTAGGAACATTTCTGCAAGTTACTAAGCACAGTTCTCTTTTCCAAAACATATCTGCAGCCACATATGCTTTTTAAAGATGAAAGGGGAGATGGCTGACCTCATTTAATACGCCCCAAGACAGGAATGTCTGTGATTCCAGTGAGATGGGTTAGTCTTCTGGCCCCAAAAGCAATAATGTCCCGCCCATATAGGTGTCCTTTGTCTGGCTGCATGCCATGGACTCACCAGGCTCACACTCCGCCAGCACCTCCTGGGAATTTGTGTCCCGGCCTCCACATCATTGCCTTCAGTCTCCTTTAAAGGTTTCCATCCCCTGCGTTTCTGCTGTCCTGTCGGCATCTCTCACCTGCTTCCCACGAGCAAGGCAGATGGGCAACATAATTAGAATATTCCACCCCAGAGATGACTTTAATTCGGGAATGGAATGAGAGGAGCCATATTTAATGGAAACATCAGGATGGCTGTGTTCACAAACTTGGGTGTTCTAATACTCTCACAATAGGCACGAGTGCTTGGCCCATCAGCAGAGGGCAGCATATGCCAATCACGGGGGACCTAGATGAGCTGCCACCCTCAAAGACAGTGCCACCCCAGTCCCATTTACAGAAGTGCTGGGAGAAAAAAAAATGTATTTTTCATCCTCCTTTCTCTTGATCTTAATTAATATGTTTATTCTTCCCTTAGCTATAGGATCATGACCCAGTGCTGGCAACACCAGCCCGAGGACAGGCCCAACTTTGCCATAATTTTGGAGAGGATTGAGTACTGCACCCAGGTATAAACATTTTTTTCTTCTTGACGAGCATTTATACGGAAAGGCCTTAAGAGCACAAATTCCAAAATGTGAAATGAAAGTTAAAACAGCCAGAAAATAAGAGTTATGATTATGAGAATGAATGTTATCTATAAAGTAAAATGGTTTCTCCGTTTCCATGTGTTGTCGATAAATACTAGTAACTGCCATGTTTTTTTTACCAGCACGACATACTGACACTGAATATTATATTAGGGAATCAATTCAACTCACAGGCATTAACTAAATCTCTACTGGACACCTAATGTTTTATTAGACAAAACTGGAGTGTCAAAGAAGCATGGTAGACACCTGCTCCGAAACAGTTTAGAGCCTGGCTGGAGAGATGATAACATGAAACAGTTAGCAGTATGTAACTGTTTAATTACTGTTATGTCCATTGATATATGGATGAAAGGAAAGGTCAGCGGGATCTAGAGACCTGTTATCATCATCAAACAGCATTAGTATAGCATCTGTAATACGCGCATCACTTTCCATGTATTTCCTTTTGTCCTCATTGGTGTACATAAAATATCCCCCCTTTCCAGATGAGGAGCTGGGGCTTGGAGAGGTTGTCCAGGCCACACGGTTTCCCAGCACTCCTTCTGGTCCCAATGCAGATCCTGCTACCATTTCCTTCAGGAATGACCCTAAAGTTTCCCTTTCTCCCCCATTTTCAGCAGACAGCTATGCCTCCAACCTCCCCAAGAAAGGAGAGGCTACCAAGTGAGACTCCCCTTGGTGTGCTCCCTGTTCTGCACCTGCACCCCTTCTCACCACCTTCCCTGAGGGTCAGTGGAGGTGGCGTCCCTCCGCCCCTTCAAAGCTAACTCCTCCACCTACACCCCCAGCTACCCCCTGCCCCCCCCCCAAGGACTATCATTCCACAGCTACCTCCTCTCCACTCAGCTTTTTCCCCCCTCTCTCTCTGCACTCATTCTGCCAGGATGTCTAATTCTGGAGAATATTTTAGAAGTCAGACAATAAACCACTAACTCTCCAAATTCCCTCATATTCAAACTATAGTCATTTCCTAGCCTCATGATTCCACCCTTTCAGGTCCTTTCAGCTCAGAAGTAGGTGGACTGGTATTTATCTAGATGGACTTCATTTATCACGTTATTTGGAGTTCTTTCAGAGAACTCAATGTTCAGTGGCATTTTAGGCTATTATGTTGTAATATTAATGGAATTTACCCACTTAGATAGATATACTTTGGAGTAACTTTTCTCAAAGGATATACCATCCCTCTGAAAAGCAGGTGGTTCTATAGAAGCACATTTTGAACGACTCACTATAAACACTAATAATTAACAGGGAGGGAACTAAAATATAAAAGAGAATCAGAAGGTAGTTGTTTTTTATCATTAAACTCTTTACTGATGAATGCTGGACCAAAGTGCTTTTCTGTTGAACGGCAGTAATGGTTTTCCCAATTTGCATAAAATATTAGATTTCCCCAAGTTTAAGTTTCCTCCCACAAATTTTCCTCAAATCTCTGGCAAGTGCTTTTGCTTTTCCATATTACAATCTGTGGCTGTAAAAATGATCGAGCACAAAGTTGGTTTTGTCAACGGTTTTCCTCACAGCACTTCAGTATTTCCTGGGTCTCACGAAGGGCCTCATCCTGTCCAAACTAGTTACAGAACCACTGCATTATGGTATCTGCACATGCAATGATATGATGATGTAACATAGAAAGAGTTATAATCAAGTGTTACCCATCCAAATATCAGAAAAACGGGAGGCAGCTAGGAAGAGAATAGGAAATACACTTTGTAAACCAACATGGAACGTGTGTGTGTCTCTCTCCTCTCCTCCCTTCCCATCCCCTTGCCCCCACCGCATACAGATATACCCCTGGAGCCAAACACAGAGTTTTCTTTTTAGTTGGGAAGATTTCACTGGGAACAGAGTGGAATAAATTTTTTTAACTAATTTACAGTTTTCTAAAAGTCCACTTATCTGTAAGATTGCCCAACAGTGGTCTCTGCAAAGCTTTTCCTGGCCCCCTCGCCTGCCCCTGGCAGTTGGGTGCATCCTAGGACCCTGTACCCACGCCTACCCCAGAGCTCATCCTCTAAGCCCTTCAAGGACCAGGATGATTTCCCACTTGTTGTTATTTCCCCGGTGCCTATAAATTAATATAGTCCCAATAGACACTAAATGGTTTCCTCATTTGTAAAATAAGTTTGGGTGTGACTTTTGCTCTTCCAGATCCAACATGTTTTGTCTGTGATTCAGTTTTAATCCATTCATTTCTCCTACCTGTAGGATCCAGACGTGATCAACACTGCTTTGCCAATAGAATATGGCCCACTCGTGGAAGAGGAAGAGAAAGTGCCCATGAGGCCCAAGGACCCTGAGGGAATTCCTCCTCTCCTCGTGTCTCCTCCACCAGCTAAACGGGAGGACGGGCAGGCCCCGGCTGCCCCGCCCCCTCTGCCTTCCGCTCCCTCTGGCAAAGCCGTGAAGAAACTAACAGCTGCAGAGGTCTCTGTTCGAGTCACTAGAGGGCCAGCCGCAGAAGGGGGACATGTTAATATGGCATTCTCTCAGTCCAACCTGCCATCAGAGCTGCACAAAGTCCAGGGATCCAGAAATAAACCAACCAGCCTATGGAACCCAACTTACGGCTCATGGTTTACAGAGAAACCCCCCAAAAAGAACAATCCTCCAGAAAAGAAGGAACAACACGAGAGGGGAAACCTGGGACGTGACGGAAGCTGTACTGTCCCACCTAACGTGGCAACTGGCCGGCTTCCAGGTGCCTCTCTGCTCCTAGAACCATCGTCACTAACGGCCAACATGAAGGAAGTGCCTCTGTTCCGGCTGCGTCACTTCCCGTGTGGAAACGTCAACTATGGCTACCAGCAGCAGGGCTTACCTTTAGAGGCCACCACTGCCCCTGGAACTGGTCATTATGAGGACACCGTTCTGAAAAACCAGCCTGGGCCCTGAGCTCGTCGGCACTCATTCTCTTCCTTGGGAACCCTGAGCCCATGGAGGGGGAACAGGTAATGATGACTCCTCCACACACCAGAGACCAAATGTCACTTTTCATTTTGTGCCAACTTGTTTTGATGTGCCACATAAAAAGCTGTCCTTTCAAAATGCTTTAGAAAGGTTTTGAGCATGGGTTCATCCTATTCTTTCCAAAAGAAGAAAATAGCATAAAGACAAGGGGAACTAGGAAGCCTGGGTGGGGCTGCCTACGGTTCTATGCATGGTTGATGTACGTGTCCTCACGCCTCCTTCCAACCCTGTGTGCTCTGCTTCCATGCGGTCAGAATTAGCTGCTCACGTGTCTCATAGTTGGAGTCGTAGACGTCTCCTTACCTTGTTGCTGTGGACCTGGACCACTTGAGGGGACAGGGAACAGAAATAAAGGAGTTATTTGCAATGAGTCGGCATGGGGAAAGACATTCTTTACTTGGAAAATTCACAGACCACTAACTGAAGTGTCACGTTAGATGATGACATTTAGATGCTTTTGATTGTGCTGATTCCCTGACGATCGTAAAAATGTAATGAATAGTGACAGTAGTATAGAGGAAATGTGTATATACTCATCTAAATGAAATGAAAACATTCCAAGTGCTTTGAATATGAGATAAAACCCCAGGACAGAACCAGAGATTCAAAAGCATTCTATTAATATGCCTCATGCCTTAAGAAAACCCTGCTACTAAAAGTGAACAGCTGAGTGTGAGGTTTCCTACTGGATGGAACACTCAAGATTTAAATTACTAATTACATATTTTAAAACTGTCCATGAATTAAAATAAACTCTGATCATTTAAAAACAAAAATTTGAAGCAGCAGTGATACATCGAAGCACAGAAACATATCCCCACATAAGCGTAGGTGTCAAAACGCCTTAGGCCAAAACCTTCTAATAAATTCAACCACAAAAGCTACCAAGTTGATGTTTCTTCCTGTAGCATTAGATGGGTCACTGGAGTACCAGGCCCTCCGGCGGTCCTAATGAGAGGTACTAATTAGTACCCTGCCTTTCAGTGTTCATCTGCGTTTTCTCTCCCTTCATCATGTGATCCTAGCATACACAACTTTGCTGAAATATACATAGCATAATTTCTATAGCTATCGAATGCAAGTTAGAACAAAGAAATTTTCCTCTGGGGGCAATGAGTAAAAGAATTAAGGAACATTTAGAGTACTGAGTTTGGCAGTGAGCTCTGAACTTGGTTTTCACAGATAAAATTTATTTCCATGAAAACAAATTGGGACTCTATTAAATTTTACACACGTACTTATGCAATAATGTTTCACTGTGTCAGTAAGTTTTCATTTCATTCCTTCTTTCTGCTTCCCCTCCACTCTTGTCCAGTTTCTTTCCTGGTAGTAGCTGTGCCAAAGCATCGCTCTGGGAGGAAAGCATCTTTTCTTACTTGTTGGACACTAAACACACCCCAGCAAAAGGACTGGATATCTATCTAACTTTTCCCTACCTTCTGAGTTTCACCTACATCAAAAGCATCACTTTGGATGTGGGAAAGCCATTCTGTTCTAGGCCAACACTAGACAAGCAGACGTCCTACGGCAGACGCCTTGCCCCAGCTGGTAGTTCTGCACCTCTACAGAAGTAGCGGTATCCTGAACACCACCTTTCTTTATCCTCTTAACTGCCAACATCTTTTCGTCAGACACACGTCTTCATGGAAACATCAACGAACTCATCTCTAAATAACTATATCAGGAAAGTTTTGGTTCATGCCAAGTGCAAAAGTAAATAACGGTAGTCTAATTATATAAACATTAATCTAACTCATCGACCACCTGAAGGGTTCCAAGAATCACACTTTGAGAAACAGTCTCCTAAAGGATGATGACAGAGGAACTGTCAAAAACTGAGAAAGACCATTTCATTTCACATTTGTAATACCGGTAACCAATTAACCAGGGAGCATGCTACACAGTTCAATAGCCAAGTCTTGATTGTTATTAATGGGGAAAATCTTATCCCTCTCTCTTCTTAAAAACTACAAATCCATTACACTTTCAGGTTGCGCCTTACCACCGAGAGTGGTGTGTTGATTCTCTCTAATCGTTTATATTGGTCTCAACTTTCATGTCCATTTGCAAATGCCCGTCGAGTCTTAAAAGCCTATATACACAGATAGGTAAACAACTCCACACTGAGGTATGAAGACCTAAGGATGTTCCACTGAACTCCCTGTATGCCCTCGGCTTCCGCGTGGTATTAACCTGGGCTACTGTCCACTCAATAGTGCTGCAGCCATCTGGAGACGGCCATTCACACAGATGCTGTGGACTCTCATATTTCCCATGACAGAAAGTTCCACCTAGAACATGAGCTGGCACCATTCAAGTTGGCAGAAGCTATATCAATTAAACCGGACGCTAGAATAATTATTTCTATTCCAAGTCTATAAAGAAGCTCATCAAAAGTCCACAACCATTCCCGCTGGGAGATGGGCCGTTTGTGACAAATGACCAGTTTGTAAAATGTGGCACCTCAAAATTAGAGCAAATTAACATAACAAGAATAAAACTTGATGTTTTTTAAAGAGTATGATCTGCTCAGCAGTCAAAAGCTTGGATTCTCTTCCCCCAGTGAGGGTGTAAGTCCTGGCTCCGCCTGGGTCACTGGGCCTGCCTGTACTGCAGTGTCTCCATATACAGATACGGATAGAACGTCCCTTTCTCACTGGCCCTCAGAGAGGTTACAAACTATGAAAGCACAAGCACGCCCTCCCATACCTCTTGAATTCCAAGTGATGTGGGGTTGGGTGTGGGGAGAATTTCAAGTCAGAGTGTGTCTATGCTTCCCTGCCCTCTGCCGCCACAGCTCAGGGGGAGTGCCTGTACCCACCCCCTCCAGCCTTCCTGGCTGTCCCACTTCTGACTTCATCTGTCACTTGTTTGATGACAGTAGCAAGAACTCTATCAGAGCTAAGTCCTTTTCGGCTTAACAGATAAATATAAAACCCTTGACCACACTTAGAGCTAAGTGTTAAAAGTAAGCATCACAGAAAGGAAGATGTTTAATCAATTTGAGGAATCCCTTTAAAAAAAAAATCTGGCATCTCCATATAATAGTTGGTAAACTTTATAGCTGTAAGATATTATGTAACTGTAGATTAACTTTATTCCATTAAGAAAGTCTAAGTGATCAGGCTGCTTGAATAGATTTTCTCTGGTAATAGTAGGATTAAAATTCATATGCACTTTATAGACCTAAAACAAGATGCATATGAATTCACACTGCTCTGAATAAGGACCCCATGACAAGATTCATAAAACTCTATGAAGTATGTTGTCAGTCTTTAGCTAATGATTTTTAAATGGGTCCCCAAAGAACATAAATCTGACTTGACTACTTTAATTGCAGCAGATGGTTCCCCATGTTGTGGGAACATACAATACAAAAGCCAGCATCCCCGTAACCCTCTACAGGATGCCCTAAAAGAGGTTGAACTGAGAAGGGTGAGGCTTCTCCATTAAGATTCTATTTTCGTCTGGTATCCTGAGTAGGTACTTCCTTTTTAATGTGCTACTCCTGTACAAAGCTATTTTTAGCCATCGCCCAACTTTAAAACATTTGAAACACTCAGAAAAAGAACAGACTATTACTTACAAGTGCCGGGAGGGAGGAACAGGAACTATAACCACAAAACCAAAGCAACGACTTTCCTCTCTTCAGGTTTCAGTAGATGGAAAACAGTGGGTGGCCCCTTCCATGTACAGATGGCACCACCAGGCTCACCTTAGAAGCACTGCAAGGACCCAAGTGTTCGCAGTGCCGGCCCATGTCCACTTCTTAGATCCTCTGCCTGACACACTCAAGCGGTCTCTCCCCTGCATTGATCTATTAAGGCCGATTGCCTCCTGGAAGGCAATTACCCCTCCATCACTACCACGCTTGTGCAGCAGGCATGGATCAGCTGGTAGGAATTGAAAGGCCGTCTTATTAAATTAACTCTCCCTAAGCCTTAACAACCAATGTATTAATGATTCCCTGGAATACGTATATTTTAAGAGGTTATTTGCCAACATAGGTGGATATCAGATTGATAAAACTTCAGATGATTAGAACATTTTGCATGTAGCACCGATCAATTACTTGAAAAACAGCAAGCGGACTGGGCAGGAGTTAAGAGACCTGGGTGGTAGATGGCAACTCACTACCCATTGACTCAGGCAGGTTACTTATTACACTCTCACATTTAAAAATATGCACAATTTGGTCCCAAAGGCCCCTTCCAACTCTGAAGTCTGATTCTATGAGACTTCCTCTGTGTAAAGTAAATCCTAACCATGTGTAGGACGTGATGGCTGTGTGTATGTGTGTGTGTGTGTGTGTGTGTGTGTGTGTGTGTGTGTTCTTCTCCTTGACCATGACTCTTAATTCATTTAGAGCCAAAGCCAATTAATTCAGGGCACAATCCCCATGAGCCAAATTCTATTTAATCTTTATACAGAAGTAGACCAGAAAGAAATTTAGTATCAGTTCGCTGTTTATTCTTTCTATTCAAAGATCTCATTAACAAATCAGAAAATCACTGGCAAAATGAGGTTCATCAGGGGGCGTTTCCTGGAAGCAGCAAAGCTGACAGCATGACGAGAATCATGTCCATTTAGTGATCTTCCCACCAGCCGTGTCACACCACTTATTTCTCTTTTGCAGCCTTATTAGCAAAGTACAGTTCTAAAACTTACCTTTTCAAGGCTATCCTTTTTCACACCTAACATCCGATGATAACTCAGATGCACTTTCTGTCGGTTGTCAATTTGCACCTCCCAGGGCCCACTCCGGAAGTGAAATGACAAAGCCCAAAATAAGGCACATGTGTGAGCCCAGGAGGCGTCCGTGGAGTCAGGCTTCCTCCGCAAACAGCCTGGTGCCGTTATGAGGAGGACTCCAATAATAACAGGAGTCCTCTCTCCCAGTCACGTTAGAATTAGAATCCCTCTTTCCAGAGTTACAGAGACACCCACTGCCATTGGATGGCAATTTGGGGGAAACTTGTCGTGAATGATATAGTGGATCTAGAAATAGGGAATCCCAAAAAGACAGCCAATTCGAACATCCCATCAAAAGATAAGACTGTGAAGACTGCAGGCAAATTATCTACATTTTAGTGCATCTAAAAGTCGAGGGGGGAAAAAAACACAAAATTAAATATTTTTGCATTATTTCAAAGTAATATTTATATAGTACTTCACAGTTCTCAGAATAAAATAATATAAAGACAGGAATTCTTCTTCCTCATGTATGTGCCAGTAACAGCTGCTGATGTTTTGTAAAAGGTAAGAAACAAGCAGAACGTGACATTGGATTTCCCTTTGTCACACACCAGGAAGTGTTAAGTGAGGCCTCAAGAAATCGCATGCCCTTTCTTGATTTCCTAAGCTCTGTATTCCCTTCAAGAAAAAGATCATTTGAGAAAATTACATTTTAACCAATATGTATCATCTATTGGAATTCTTACTAGAAACCCATTTTTATTGGCAGGTTCTAAAACGGGGACTACAGTTTTCCACTTTCCTTCACTGCTGTAATGCAAAACCCACTTTCCCTGCCACCATATGGCGCTTGTTATGACTATTACGATTCATTTTGAAATCCACGTTAGGATTTTTTTTCCAAAACTATTGGACAGCAACGCCTACCTTTCATAAAGAGAACTGCCAGGGATGGGCAACATCATTAACACTGTTGACTGAGATTTAAGCTGAATCTCAGAAGTCATGTTAAAGAAAAAAACAGAAAAGCTCGAAGCGATGACAATGCTTTTAACATGATTTATTTCCCTGTCAGTCTGATTTGATTTGTTAGGTGAAAAACAATGAGTTCTGTCTCCAGGAAGGTAAGTCTACCTCGAGGAAAGCCCTGACCAACTCTGTTAGGCCCGGAT